GTCTTTATTTTACTGTTAAAATATATGTTTAACAAATAAAGTCTAATGTTACAACTGATTGTGGATCCCTTTAACAGATAGCTTAAAACTATTATATTTTACTGACAAAGCCTATGTTTAACCTGCTGCTTGTATTGCTCCATAGCATCCTCCAGAGCCGCCAAGAAGTCAGTGTTTTCCTTCTCCAACCGTTGGATCTGAGACTGAAGAAAACCATCTTCCTTCTCACTGTCATGATCATGGCTCCACCTCTCCTCTACAGCCTCTGTGTCCTGGAGAGGTCAAAAACAAATCAGTGATGTGTCCAATAATTGGTAAAGTTCGACCAATGTGACCCGTGAAACTGATTTGAGAGAAACACACTTGATTCCTTATAGAAGGCCTGCCTCCTCTCAGCGCGACGCTGTCCTCGGTGGAGCTGTTCTCGATACCGCTGTCTGGGCCGGAGGCGGTCGTAAGCCCGCTTCGTTCCTCCTCGACTGAGCACAGCCACTCTTTTACTCTCAGACTCTGCTCCGCAGTCAAAGCCCCATCGCTCTGCAGCTCCCGCAGCAATCTGTTGCACATCAACAGCACAGAAACAAGCAAATGAAACACTTACAGCTGCGTACGTTCAAACCTAATAAGCCAGAAAACTAAACCTTACACCTTTAAAAAACATTAACAGRAWTAAAAGAGTAGTGGCTTAATTAAGTCATTTTACTGTYCAGTAATCATTTATGTGTTGTAAACTACTTTTTAATGATCTGGCTAAACGGACGTGTGGTTTTAAGTRGACAGATAAAAACAGCTGTAATAACAGCACAAAAGCAGCATTAACATCAACACAATGATGAGTCTTAAACCTGTAAGCCGTGTCTGTACAGGTCCTATAGTGAGCACTTTGTGCCTGCAACCGGCTCATTTCTCCTTCTCCAAGTCGAGGCCTCCTGTTCGGGTCACCGTGAGAAATGATGCGAGTCTCWGAGCGCTGACGGTTCTCGAGAGCTCTGCGGAGGGCCTTGATCTGCTGCTCCAGTCCTTCCACTCGATCTGGTTCACGTTTGCTGTTGACCGTAGCTCGGTTTTGAATGTTCCTCGCCCTCATCGCGTAGTTTAGCGTATTCAGGCTCTCGTCGAAGTCCGAAGAGGAGGGGCTGATGCAGGCGATCATCAGTGTTTTTGAATTCCCTCCCAAAGAGTCTTTAAGTATCCTGGTTGAGACAAGAGTAAAACAAATTCAAAAACACTTAAAATAAAGTGATGTTTTGTTAGAATGGGTTCTTTAGTAAAACTTACCTTGTGATTTTTGAGTCTCTGTATGGTATATGAGAGCCTTTTCTCTTTGGATCTCCCAGTGCCCCAATAACATTTCCCAGAGCCAGAAGGCCGCTGTTAATTTGGATACTCTCTTTCAGTCTCTCTCCAGTGTTACCCGTCCTTAAGATGCGCTCCGACCCGGCCAAGTCAACAAAGTGGAACTTGGAAGACAGCATTTGTGGTCCAGTGTTTGCAGCGTTCCCGTTCAGGCGCGAGCTTCCACGACGCTGATCCATGTATACGGTGAAAATGGTGTGTGAGCGGCTGGAGTTTGGATTCATCTGCGTTGCTCCGGTATGTCTGGCTGTGTTTCCTGACTCCAGCAAGCTCAAAACCTCGTCCAGACCTTCTACTTCACACTCCTTTACACCGCACAAAACTAAAAGGTCACTCAGAAAAAGATGAAAGAATGTAGTTAAATCTAAGCAGCAACCATTTTTGTAAAAGAAAACAAATCACAAACCATGCTCAGAAACCAACAAGGCTGCTTATTTCATACCGATGTTGCCTTTGTCCTCCCGGATGTTGATATCCTTGCTGGCAGTTTCAACCTCCAGCAAGTCCTTAAACTCCTCTTTATAGACCTCCAAATAGGAGACTCGGACTGAGAAGTCTGTGAGGTCNCCCCCCACGATGATGATGATGCCTGTGTAGCACAATATGAAGCACAAATGCATGCATGCGGATTTTGTGATGCTAGACGCTGTCTGCACGGCTGCGAACAGAAATCGGTGCACAAGTTGCACACCGTCAAATGTAAACCCCCAAATCAAAATCTCACGTCAGGCCGTAGAGCTACAGGCGTCTTTCTAATATCCGGCAAAGGCGTGCAGCCATTCAAAGACGGCGACATGGCACATTAATTTTCAATTTGCAGCGCCACGATTCAGCGTCCCCAGTCAATATTCGACACCCAGCGTTGGAAGCTGTATGCGCTAATTGTCTCTCTGAGCCGTGCCAGCGTCTCCCCAACGTCACAGAAGCATAAAAACATATGGAGCCTATAAATATACATATTGAAAAAAAAGAGAGAGAGATAACGCCAAGATGTCCATCCTACCTGTGCCGTGAGCCAATTCGATGCCCGGTTCGGTGAGTATGTTCGGGTCACTTTGAGATCTGCCTCGCTGCAGACAGCCGTCTAGTCCATCCGATGTAGCCATGGAGAGGCAGCGCAGGAATCCCGAATCAAATATTTAAAAAGCCCAAACCGGGAGGCGAGCAAGGTCAGGAGGAAAYCAGCGCGCGCGAGGCTGGATTTAATTCGCTCCGACAACAGCCGCTTTGAGCATCTACCAGGGAGCCATGGCTGAGCGCGCGCGTGCGCGTGAGTGTACGTGTGTGTGTGCGCGCGCGCGTGTGTCTGGGCTGTGTGGATAAGGGAGGGGTGAGATGCCCCACGATGGTACCAACGGGGTTGGTGATGATGATGATGTTGATGATGATGCCCATCCCTGTCCAGCCAGCGACACAAGGGCGTAGGAATGAGTTCACTGCTGGGGGGGGGACACCATGGGTTAAAGCTAAAAAAAATTATGTCTGAAATATTTTCATAACCCCCCCCCAAAATAAATAAATAAATAAATAAAAATTAAAAAAATTAAAAAACACACACACAGGTTAAGGTTTTATTACGAAAGAGAGGTACACAGGTGGTGTTCTGTGTTGGTTTATTCTCTCTCACATTAAACCAAAAGCTTTGCAATGTGTGTGAA